GGGGGTCGGTGATGAGGCTCCTAGCGTAAGGGGAGCTGCGGAGGGCTCCCTGGTACAAGGCGAGGAGGGTGCGCTCATCGGCCCCCTAGACCTCCTCGGTCTCCCTCGTCCACCGATCGATGAATGACCTGAGGGACTCCTCGTGCTGCTGCTTGACGAAGAGGAGGTGGGTGAAATACTTCTTCGCGCGCTTCCTCCCGGCAAAGTGAGTGAGGAAGCGCTGGGCGAGATCCTGCCACGAGTCAATGCTTCCTTCTGGCAGTCCGTTGAACCACTCGTACGATGGCCCCTCGAGAGTAGAGAGGAACCAACAGCAGAGGTATTCGTCGGACGCGTTCACCATCAGCATGTTGTTCTGGTAACGGCTGAAGTGCTCCTGGGGGTCTGATCGGCCATCGTGGGACTTGATGGCGTTCCCCCTGTATTTCTCAGGGATGGGGGCCGAGAGGACCCTGTTGGTGAAAGGGGTCCTCGTCCTGATCTGGATGATGGGGTCACCCCGCCCTTCGGCCAGCTCCCTCTCCAGGGCGCTAACTTTGTTCATGAGCGCGTTGAGGCCGGGGTCGTTGGAGGCGCCGGCCGTAGGGATGTTGGCCGACTGCTTGGCCTCCATCTGAGCCAGCCTCCTTTCCAGCTGGGCGATGACCTCGTCCCGGGGGTCCCTATCGGCCGCAGCGGCGCCCGGCTGGTTCCTCAGGCGCTCGTTGTGAGCGGCGTTGATCTGGTGACGCACGTCATCCTCGTGCAACTTCCCCTTGCCCTTGTCCGGGCGGGGCTGGTCCGCTGTCCGGGACACAGACCCCAAACTTTCCCTTGGCGAGCCAGGACGAAGATCACCAATCCGTCCCGCCATCCTCTCCGAAACCGGACGACGGCGCGTGTCACCTAGCCTATTGAAGGCAGAGGCTTTTCCACGCGCTGGGGTCTGCCCGGGCCGAAGAGGGGAAGCAGGGTGGGAGTGGGACGTCGCCGTGTCCTAGGCCACAACCCCCTCATCGTTGCCTATCTAGACGGCCAACGGTTGGGGATGAGGAGGTGGAGTGACGCTTCCCCCGGTCCTTGGCAAGAGTGCGCTGAGGACGGTGGGGTTCTGAGCTAGGCTGGCGATGATGAACGATAGCGCGGCCTGGACCTGTGGATCCACGGACGGAGAGGCCGCGGCCATAGGCTGGGCCGGAGCGTGATCCGTCTTTTCAGCTCGCTTCTTGTCCAAGCCGAGGCGGGCATCAGGGGCGCCGCCGTTGAGTTGGTTGCGGAGGTCCGTTGTGAGGTTGAAGGCCTCCTGGAAGAGGTCCCCTCCGCCGACCTGGTCGGCCGTGGCGTCCTCATCGTGCTCCCTGGGCTCTTGGTCCTCAGGGATGGCTTTGCTGACGAGGTTGCGGTTTGACTTAGTTCTCCCCATGATCAGTGGTTAGATGTGCTTTGTAGCGACGAAGGGTGCTAACTTGATTGTTCTAGCTCTCAACGAGAGCACCAAATGATAGAGTATATCTAGAGAGAAGTGAGAGCTAGAGAGAGAAGTGCAATAATATGCTTCAATAGAATGATTTCGTAACCCCTATAACTACTCCCAAAGGGAGTATTTATAGAGAAAATTAGGGTTGGGCTCCCAAGCCTTGGGCTTGGGAGGCCCATTTACAACTGGACCGCTACTGGGCCGAATACAAAGCCACTAATGGGCTGTACAAATGAGTAAGTGTAAAATCCGATTCTGGGAGGTCTTCTTGGCCGACGAGGGCGTGGCCGACGAGGGCACGGCCGACGAGGACACCCGGGTTCCTTGGACTCAGGACCATAATCCGAGTTGGCTCCTTTTCGGCCGAAGGGGGCGTCTTGGCCGACGAGGGCGCCACTCTGTTGTCTTGTGCTTTCTGTTCTTCCGAGTATGTGGGTCCTGGGGCTCAGACCCATATACTCCATCATCATCAATTTCTCCTCATCCATGATCTTAACTTACCTAGATTTTTTTTACAAAGCTAGTTATTATTAGTTGCCTAGAAAATGGAAAGGGAGCCTAAAAGTTGTGAATAATCTCAAAATAATCCAGCGTTAGAATTTGATACCGGATTATTTTATCAAATAATCTCATAAAATAATCTCAACTCCTCATCCATGATAAAAAAAAACCTCCACATCATCAAAATGATCCCAAAAATAATCTATGGATGGGGATGCCCTTATATCACACACATTGTGTAGTCCAAATGAGGCCACACTTAAATGTTTTGCCCCACTTAAAAGTGTTACCCCATTTGTGGCCACACAATATGGTGAGGTAAAAATGGGATACCTTTGGCATTTCACTCATTATTATTATTCTTATTCCGTATAGTTCATTGATCAAATATAGCGGAGAAAAGTATCGAAATTGTACTTTAACTTGTCTCATATAGCATAAATAGTACTCCGTACATCATTTTACAAGTGATACCCCAAAGTACATAACCTCGATTTTTTGTGTCGGTTAAGTACATCTGTTAAAGAGACCATCCACCGTACAACCGGATGTACGGTGAGCACCGTACAGTCGGTGACATTTTGGTAATTAATGTGAAAGCGTGGTTTCTGCTAAATGAGTATTAATGTACTGTTAATGAGCAATAGTCCAACTTTAATGAGTATTAAGAGTGTAATAATGAGCACCGTGTTATTACAAGAAAGCTAATATCACAACTAAAAAATGATGACATTTTCGTAATTTCAGTGAAAATCATGAGTTTCTTTAGATGAGCATTAACACACTTGTAATGAGCATTAGACGTAAACTACAGAGCATTAAGAGTCGCATAATGAGTATTATTATGATATCAACTTCATATATTGTAATTCACTTTCTTTTTCTTATTTTTCTTTTATAAGAACTCATTAAATTATATCTATAATCAATTTCTATGAATTTGAATATGCAATCTAATGTAATATGGTACTTTTGACATATGCATTGTTATGACATTTTAAAAATGAGCATTACATGAGTAGCAGTTGAGCGTACGTAATTTACAAAATGAGCATTTATATGAAACTCATAAGTATTTTTAGTTGAGTATCAAGATATTTTAATTGAGCATCAAACCTCATCTATTGAATATTAGAAACATGCAATTGGGTATCATTGTAGTGCCTTCATATCTATAATCAACTTTTACGTGAATCTAATGTAATATGGTACTTTTGAAATATGCATTAATATAACATTTTAAATTGAGCATATTAGCGGTACAAAATGAGCATACATTACTTAGCAAATGAGCATCAAGACATTTTCATTGAACATCAAACTTGCTCGATTGAGTATAAAAAGCATGCAATTGAATATCATGATCACTATTCCCATTATATAATCTAACTCGTATGCGAATCTAATATGATACTTTTGAAATATGCATTAATATGACATTTTAAAATAAGCATAAATCAATACGAGATGAACATAAGTAACTTACAAAATGAGTATCGAACAGGCTTAAGAAGAGAGAAATAATTGAACTTAAGTTAGAAATAGAAAAATAAATAGAAAAATAGGATATCCATGTTCATGGTAATGCCGACTCGTACCTTAAAAATAGAAAAATAAAACATTAAAATCTAAAATATTTTACAATACATAAATTAAAAAAACTTTAGTTAGAAGGTTTATTGAAAAAAACCTCAACATTAAATAATATTTTATATTATACATTTTCATAATAATTGAATAAAAAAGTAAAGCAAAAAGATTGTTGAATAAAAAAGAATGAAAAAGAAACAAGAAGAACATCAACTAACGGGTAAAAGCAACGTACGAAAAAAGAAAAGAAAGCAGGGAGCATCAACTTAACTATAAGGCTAGAATTTGGAGCTAATTATAAAAATGCCGACCATACCATGCTCATGGTACAACCGGCTGTACCATATAATTTACCTCTATTAAACAGAAGTTAAAAAAAACGGTGTGTGACTAAAAAGTTACATGACACCAATCTTCAATAAAACAAAAGGAGGTAAAAGTCGGATCGGTCCTCAAAATTGCATAAAAATGGTCAAATAAGTCTTTACTGTCTGGCCGTCGCCATTTGGGGAGGTCCCGGTGGAATTTTTTGATGATTTTTTTAACATCTTATTCTTTAAGTCTAGTTTACTCATACCAAATTTCAGCTAAAACTTCAATCGGGAAGGCATTCAAATGAATTCTTGAAGGTAACTGCGTTTTTAACTGCGCAGTTATCTTCAAGACTTCATTTGAACGTCTTCCCGATTGAAGTTGTAGCTGAAATTTGGTATGAGTAAACGAGACTTAATGAATAAGATGCTCAAAAATGTTCATCAAAAAATTCCACCCGAAACCGCCCCGAATGGCGGTGGTCGGATATAGCCTCCTAAATAAGGACTTATTTGACCCTTTTTATGCAACTTCAAAGACCAATCTGACCCTTACCTCAAAAGAAAAGTAAGATATAACCAGTTTGTTGCCTCAACATTAATGAAGGCATAATATCTCCAAACTGCAGATGATAAAGCAGAATCACAGGCCTCTCTGAGAATTGATTCCATAATGGAGAATGATAAATCGCAAGGAAGGTAAGTTTTAGGGGTTGCATTACAGTTCATGTTCATGGACTCTGATGAGCTTTTAGAGTATTAGTTGACTGTTGAGTTATTTGATATAATGGTTTCACCGGCTGTTGTTAGTTCTAATTTTCGATATTGCTAATAATTTAGTTCAGATAATTAAGTAGCAGCGAAGCAAACCTGAATTTTAAAGAAGATAAACTAAAGAAGAAGAATAAGAAGAAAATTTAGAGCAGCATAAGAAGAGAGAGGAAGAGAGGCCCTGTTCCCACCCCGCCTATTGTTTCCCACGTCGCCTTCAGAGAATCCATTGCAGCTTATCTTCCAATCATTCGAGAAAATTTAGAGCAGCATAAGAAAATTTAGGTCCATGTAGAGTAGAGGAAGAGAGAAGGCAACAGAAGAAACAAAACCATACTCCGTATGTAAGAAGCTGCGGGAAGGACTTGGAGTTCAACTCAAAAAAACAAGTTTAGGTACTTTTGGGTGTCAGTTGCTTGTTGATGTACTACACGGAGAAACTTAATGTACCAATTCAACACTTTTCTCAAATAAAACGTATGGGAACACTATTTACAACTCATAGGTAATGACCCGTGTACAAGTAATGAATATTTATTACAAAGACATGGAACAACAGTGTTTATTTACTCTGTAAAGAACTTGTGAAAACCTCCAAACTTTTAAGACCGGGCTTGAAGGACAAAGGTTTTAAGAAGACAAGATTCTGAACTTTGAGAACATTGAAAATCCTTATTTAGTAGCCCCGGCTCTTCATTTCTGCCTACCGCCAAGGGATCAGTCCACTCCTGAAACTGGTTAAGGCTGCCTGGGAAGTCTGTGAAGAGTCCATCGACACGGATATGCTTTATCCAGTAATCATACTCATTGTATGGATCTTGGCTGAAGTTGAAGTGCAAGTACTTATTCTCATTGCGGAACGTGTAAGGATGTACCTGAAGTATCGTGTAAATGAAGATTTAAAAACAAAATGCATATCAATGATTGAGATGTCTTGTTTACTATTGGGTGACTCAAAACCACATAATTTATATCCAACCACCAGAGTGCTAAGAGCGAGCAAGCAAGTTTGGAGATCACATATGAATCTTCAATTGGTTTTTTTCTGGTCTGGTCTAGGTTTATGTAATTTTACTTTGTCTTGGTATGATTTGAAATGACCTGGTTTGCTATCATTTGATCAGTTCAGCTCTAGTGCATACTTTGGAGCTAATCTAAAATCTATTTAACAAGCCTACTTGGCAAAGCTGATTATTAACTATTCCCTCCACCCTCTTATTGTTTATCTCCTTTTGCATCACCATACAATTTCACTCAGTAAGCATGTCAAGAAAAACGCGGAAGAAAACTGTGGGGCGCAGCAAACATACTTACCTTAGAGCTGATTCTTGATTATATATAATAGAAAACCATAAACTTTTTCAGGTGGGGGTGTGGGTAGGGATTAATCGGTGGAGTGTTGCATGGAACTGTAAAAAAACCTCTTTTATATGTTTGAATTTTTAAGATTGAAATACATAAAACCTCAAAAGTTACCAAACACAAGTATGGTGCATAGCGTATGGTGAACACGCTTGATGGAGTATATGGGTGATAAGGAAATCCAGATTCACAGAAATATTACAGAAAAGATGAACAGAAATTAAAGGAACAATTCAAGAAAACTGTATTGAAGATGAACCAGAACAAATGGCCGAAGCCCCCAGTTGAGCCGAAGCCCCCCAAAGAAAGAGAATAGTTCTCGATCTCCCAAAGTCCCAAAGTCAAAGTCTAAAAACAGCCTCCTTACTATTCCCAACTTATTTCTATTTATACTAGTCTATTACACTTATTAATATTCTTGGTCTATTAGGCCCAATTCTTAACAATCTAGTAGGCCCAATTCCTAAGATAGGTAGATCCCTATCAATACTCCCTCCCTAAACATCCACCTTGCCCTCAAGGTGGGTTATAGGAAACAGCCAAGACTTCCTCCTTTCCCCTCATCCTAGTCCCCCTTCCCTTCCAATACTTGACTGACTGCTGGATCATGAGCTTTACTACTTCTATCCTCTGCCATAAATACTTTGCAGCAGAGTTACACAGGTGCCATATCATTTTATCCAAAACATTGATTCCTGCAGCTTCTGTGGAGACTAAGGTGCAGCCTGTTGCCACATAGGGGACTGCATTCTTTGATAACTCCTGGTAGTTCAGCCCTTTTCCTTCTCCATTCTTATTTATCAGGCTCTTCATGTCCTTATAAGCTTCCAGTTGCCTTAATAAAGAGTCTCCTTGTATATGTACCTTCTGCCCATGCACCTCCCATTGGAGGGTCTGATTCCGAAAGTTAACTGCCATATCTCCTAGGCCAGCTAACCATTCCATTCCCAGCATGACATCAATTTCCCCCAATTTCAGAATGTAGAATTTCTGCAGAATTGCATTACCTTGTACATCCACTGTCAACCCATCACACCTACCATAGTTGGGAAGAAATTCCCCATTCCCCATCTGCACCTTATTCCCCTTGATGCAATTAAAAGGTATATTCCATTCCTCAACAATCTTCTGTGAAATGAAATTGTGAGTAGCTCCACAATCAATCAAGATATTCACCTTCTTTTCCTCAGTCATCCATTTCAGATTTCCCAGGACATTGAATGTTCTCATGGGTGGTGTTCCTTCTTTGTCCACTACAGATAATTGCATAGTCTTAGCTTCCATATGTATTCCTTCTTCTCCTTTATCTTTACTATAATCAGTATCAGATTTCTCCTCACCGTCAGATTGTTCTACCAGCATTATTGTAAAATTTTTCATTCTACAAATGTGACCCCTGTTCCAATTTTCGCCACACTTGAAACATAACCCTTTTTTACTTCTTTCTTGCAGCTCACTCTGTGATAATCTGGGACATTGAATGTTCTCATGGGTGGTGTTCCTTCTTTGTCCACTACAGATAATTGCATAGTCTTAGCTTCCATATGTATTCCTTCTTCTCCTTTATCTTTACTATAATCAGTATCAGATTTCTCCTCACCGTCAGATTGTTCTACCAGCATCATTGTAAAATTTTTCATTCTACAAATGTGACCCCTGTTCCAATTTTCGCCACACTTGAAACATAACCTTTTTTTACTTCTTTCTTGCAGCTCACTCTGTGATAATCTGGGACTTGTCTTCATAGAAACAGAACTTGATCCTTCTTCCAGCTTCTTGCTACCATCTGAGTTCTTCATCAATTGATTTGTAGATGCCAGATTATAACTATTTCGACTACCATCTCCCCATTTAGGATAGCTCTGTCCTGTTTTTCTTCCTTCCTCTTTATTCTTAACAATCAAGGCTTCAGAGTTCTTGTTCTCAATTAAAGAAGCCACATCCATAACTTCAGCCAAAGTTCTTGTAGAGTATAGCTTCAACTCAGCTTTTACATCACGCTTGAGGCCCTTAAGAAACGCTCCTTTCAATACCTCTTCAGTTAAGTGTCCATGTGTAGCCATTGCAGTCTCAAATTTGTCTCGATATTCCTCTATGGTATTTTTCTGCTTCAAACTGAATAAAGGCCCCAGAGGATCCTTGACCATGCCTGGCTGGAAGCGTCTGGTCAATGCTTGAGTAAAAGAATTCCAGTTTTGATGCGTAGCCTGCCTCTCCCACCATTGAAACCAGCTTAAGGCCTGATCTTCCATGGCCACGACTGCAACGTCAATCTTATCCTCTTCTTCAGTCCTATTCAAGCGGAAGTAGCGATTCATTCTGACTAACCATCCGCCTGCGTCTTCCCCATTGAAAAGAGGTAATTCGATTTTCCTTCCTATAGGAGGATGATTTCGATGATACCTGTGGTGATCGCGGTGTTGATGTCGACGTGAAGGAGAGTAATCCGAATTGTTTTCCGATCCTTCTGAGCTGGTTGCTTGTCGTGAACTATGATGGTGAGTTGAACGATGATGGTGAAGTGAACGATGATGGTGATGATATTTGTGCCTTCGACGATGTCCGGAATCATGTTGATAGGCTTTAGGGTTTGATTCATACTCCGAACTTTCTGAACTATCGCCATTCTTCGCATAACGCCGGTGAGATGATCGATGCGACGTACTCGATCGATGTGAATGGCTCCCCGACCGTCCCGATCGATTGACCTGCAACCTTGCCATGTCAGTTTGCATCGCCGCCATTCTCTCCAACAGCGTATTCTGTATTTCCTGCAGATGCCTCTCAGTCCTCGTCTCCATCTCTCCCTGATTCCGCTCCACATCGTTAATTCTGCCTTCCATTTTAGCGCGCGTAATTCTCATCCAGGGATCGAACACTCTCTGATACCAATGATAAGGAAATCCAGATTCACAGAAATATTACAGAAAAGATGAACAGAAATTAAAGGAACAATTCAAGAAAACTGTATTGAAGATGAACCAGAACAAATGGCCGAAGCCCCCCAAAGAAAGAGAATAGTTCTCGATCTCCTAAAGTCCCAAAGTCAAAGTCTAAAAACAGCCTCCTTACTATTCCCAACTTATTTCTATTTATACTAGTCTATTACACTTATTAATATTCTTGGTCTATTAGGCCCAATTCTTAACAATCTAGTAGGCCCAATTCTTGGTCTAGAACCATGACCCACATTAGCCACATACTCACAAGACATTTGTACCGGACCAACAAACTTACAAACGGCATCCTTGGCCGGATGAGGGCACCATCAGACGGAGCAATCCAAATCGCTGGCGCAAGCTTCTGACTCAAGTCGATTGGATCACCCTCGTCCACCATCCCTCTGCCGTGCACCCTCAACCCAGAAAGATACTTCGCCACCAGTAAGACAAAGAAGACAACGTAGTTTACCATCCATGTTTAGACGGGGCGCCACGCCCCTCATCCATCATACATCAAGCACCATGGCACCATGTGCCCTATTTTCATGCGTTGTAGGGCGTCGCCCATAGACTGACTTACAAGTGTATTCACATTTAATCTGCTTAGCACTTATTACCACTATAAATTTCGCCGTTTAGGAGAGTTCTAAGGGTTCAAAACTTATCAATTGCAAGACACTTTTCTCTCTCTATAATTTGTTCCACCTTCTCTCTAGAATACCATTAGTGGATTCAGATATAGCTATCAATGCTATCTAGATAGTATAGGTTGGCATCTAAGTGAAATATATCCATATGAAATTTTAAACCATCACAACGATCTTTGAAGAACAACTTCCATAACGTGATAAGAAGATGTCATACCTGCAAATGGTTGTTGTGCGCTCGTGTAACAAGATCCGTACATGGCTGCAGGTAGTTACTAGACACTGGGACTATTGTATCCTTCCAAGGCCCAATCCCCACCACATAGTCCTTGATGAAGTCAAGGTAACTGTCTGATGTGATATCAAAATATGACTGAAATGAACAAAGGATATAAAAAGTTAAAAAACATGTATTACTCCTTATACTGGACCATACTATGCAGACTAGCTTCTGATGGGTCCACCTTCTTAAAATCAAAGAGGAAGTGAAAGAAGATGAGAACCTGGTTTGTGTCTTGCGTGTATGATGAAGCATCATCTATAAGAAGGATCTTTGGCAGGTCTGTCTGATTGGAAATGTAAGTAAGAGATGTTGGAGCAAATGACTGAATAAAAACAGGTTGTTTCAACCACTCCTTTGACATATAAGAACCTTCGTATCCATATTTTTTAAGCATCTCAATGAACTTGTCTTCAAATTTCTGACCACCTGACCATCTAACCTGTGGAAAGTGCCAGCGATTCTAAATTAAATTTCAAAATAAAATCCTCTGCAATTATCTTGTCAGTTTTCATACTACCATTTTTACTCCTTATTGCTGAAGAGGAAAAAATGCAGAAAGCACTTACATGTTCGTTAATGAAAATTGGGTTCTTAATCTCTGGATATATTCCAACAACTCTTGGGGCATCAAGTGCAATCGATATGAACTCCTCAAATGTAATTATAGGGAACTTCCCTGCATTATATTAAAGGGCCCAAACTATGATGATAATGATGATGATGATGATGATGATGATGGATAGGAGAAGTTTTATGGTTTGCTTAGTTCAAGGATTCTGGAGGGAGGAAGAGAGAATGATTCATTTCAACTTTATTGATTTATCAAATTTCTTTGCTAGTTTCTTAGAAATAACCATATATTAGTTAGATCATGTATTTCTTTATCTTCATTTTATTCTAAACCATTTAAATGTGGAAACTATTTTAAAAGGATATATCAACTAAAAAACTCTTAGGGCCAATGTGCATGAAGTTCACCTAGAGTTCAACTTTGTGCAGAGAGATAATATGTCAAAGCTTGTCGTGGTAAAGTCTGTGTGAATGTGTGATCAGGGTAGACTGGTTATGGGACCTTAAGTACAAATCTATAAATGTGTTCCACATACTTGCATCACACAAGAAGGAAGAACTGAACTAACCATTATACTGCTGATCCCTGAATGAAAATCTTTGCCTTGTCCTCAAGGTTTTCAATTCTTCAAGCGTGAAATCAACTGTGTATGACAAAGTAATCTTAAAAGTACTATTATAGACAGCGATTGCAATACCATTACGTTGCATACTTGCATGGGTATGATCTTTTGTAAAATAACTCAACATTTTTAGAAGAAGAAAAAGGTAAAAGTGAGATATAATAATTAAAAAATAAAGGTATTTTTAACAGCTAATTAGGAAGACGAAAACTGTAGCGCCTTCAAGTAAAAAATACTGAAAGTTTCTATGCAGGCATTTGGTGAAAAATCAATTTTAGATCTTCAAGCTCCACACCGACCTTAATATGTGTATGTAATGAAAAATATTAAATGATAAATAAATAATAGCGATTATGGAGCAACTATGTGTAATCCAAAACATAGAAAACTGAAGGCTTTGAATGATCGGTGACAATACCAACAAAATGACCAGTGGTGTTGTCCCCTTGAACATCATAAGTCCTCTTTCTATCTGAAAACTCCTTGTGGTTAGATATATCAGTTGTAGCATCAAGGACAACATCGTGATGGCAAATAAGAACACCATCTTTTGAAGCTAAGATGTCTGTTTCAATAAAGTCAGCACCTACTTCAATAGCTCTCTGCAAATGATTCAGGTTCATGGACACATTAAATGTGAAATAATACACCTGCACTGGCGGAGCTGGAGGGGGACCAACCCCGGCCCTAGCCCTCTCCAAAAAAATTTATGTGTAAAATGTGTACTATTTGAATATAAATTGTTAAGTGTCTGATAGAGTTTCTCCAGGTATACAGAAAATTAACAGGATGATAAACAGCAATTCAAAGAAACAATTCAAGAAAACTTTATTAATGGAGAACAAGAATCAATGGCCGAAGCCCCCCAAAAGAGAGAGAATAATCTCAATTTCCCAGTCCCAAGACAATTGTCTAAAACAGCCTCCCCCTTTCCTCACACATGCCTTATTCTATTTATAGTAGTCCAGCTCAACTGACTTTAGTTATTAGCTACAACAGAATTTTAACTAATAGCTACTAGTCTATTTAATAGTCTAATAGGTCGATCCCTAACAGTGTCTTGCATATGTATCCGACATCTTATCAAAATACAGTGTGAAGTAAATATTTCCTCTTGAGGATCTTTTTGGTGTGAATTTAATTCTCACATGGGTATCAAAGTCTGATCTCGTTGGGGCTTGTTTATTTGTTTGCTTAGCACCTACTATTTGAGTTACTGTGTTTGGGTCGGTTTGATCCATTTATCTACCATCAAGTTGTCCAATTTGTTTTGGACCGAGGGGAGTTTTCCAACATCGGATGTTTCCAAGATCAATACTCCCTCTGTCCCATAAAGTGGATCGGAGTTTAAGAAAGTGGGAATAAAGTGGAAATGTATGGTTGTGGTTGAGTAAGAAAAAGGTAAATAAATGTGAGCCACACAAAACTTTCCAAAAAGGGAAATGAGAACTATTTTTTGGGACGGCCCAAAAAGGAAACCGGGAACTATCTTGCAGGACGGAGGGAGTATATAATTTATAAATTGTGAGATAACCGCTACCTTTGGAGGAACCTAAGTGAGCTAGGCCTAATTATCACAAATTTTCAACCCATCCGAAAATCAATGTTTTGGACATGTTAACATCCAAGTAGATTATTTGACTTGGAATCAAGCTTCAATGTCTACAGTGAAGCTACACATAGGAAATCAATGAGAAACTATAACACATTTACTTTTTGCTGGAAAGTAACAATTTTAGTTTGGGAGGCTGAAGACGTGTTAAGGTTAAAGAACTGTAGGAAGCATAATAATCAGTCAATGAGTCATAATTATGGTAAACATGAAGTTAAGAAAAATGATTTTCCATGTACGCAGCAGCAGTGGCTTCAGGAATTTATCGTATGCATGTGATTATTAACTTTAAAATGTTGCTGAAGCATACCATGTATGCAGCAGCAGTGGCTTCAGGAATTTCTCCATTTGAACCTCGGTGTGCAATATTATATGCGCGAAATGTTTGCAAGGGCTGCTTGTTTATATCATTTCTCCTGTTTGGGACTGGTTTCACACGCCTTGCAGAGCACCCAGCAAGTAGTAACAAAAGAATAAAAGGGGCAAAACCTGCCCGGTCAACAGTAATAGAAAAGAAACTATTCACGGGCTTCAAACAAAAGTCACCAGGCATGTATGGCAGTCATAAGAGTAAAACAAGATCATGATTCCAGAAATTCTTCTATTCACCAAAATTCCAGTAAAAGAAGAGTAGTTCATCATTGACAAGAGTATAGAAAGCAATGTCTTTATACTAGGAACTATGTGGCTATGCATCACAGTTCATTCAACAGTATTTACTTCAATATGATGCAAACCTTAACACCTTGTTTGATTCAAAAGAGGGGAGGGGAGGAATGAACAAGGAAATGATTTTAAAAATGACATTTTTTTCCAGTTTTCTTAAATTTTCAATGCGGAGTATCTAACAGAGAAACATCAAGAAATGCAAATTAGTCACATAACTAGTGTACGTAAGAAAAAAAAAATGGAGAATTGTGATCTGGGTATGAATGCTCACATTGAAATGAAGCCATTAAATTTGGCCCCCTTCTGTATGACTCTCCCTCTTGTGCAGTACCTTGTGTTTCTCCAAGGCTGAGCCCAAGGAGAGTGCGGGCGTGGAAACCATCTCCACTACAAGTAAATAATTGCTGTAAACTACGCTGGAGTACATACGGTTGTCGCATACGTTATACGTATAACCTTGTCTGCCATCAGTTAGGTGAACCTTAAATACAGTAATTTGAGAATATTCTGTACTGATCCTTTTTTTATGGAATATTCTATAGTGATCCTTAATAATAAGGTGATAACTCCGGTATCCATTTAAAAAATGGGATATCGTACCTATCATTCACTTGAGTGGTCCACACCGTTATATCATTTTTAATTTAGATTTAAATAATTCAACTGCAACACTCTCATTGGTCTATATGGGTATCATAGAATCTACCTAATAATAATATCCATATGGGCAAAAATATATAGAGCATGTAAATTTATTACTAGTATTATGGAATCAATGCATTTGGTGCATCCACATTATCAACATACTCTTTATGAATTACGCCCACAATTTTTTATTTAAATGTTTTCATTTAAATATTTCATGAGTGTAATCGTATGACTTGTGTGGGCCGTGTGGCCCAACATGGCCACATATTTTTATGGTGGGATGATCTCTTATTCATTCAAGTTCATAAAGATCTTACTAGCGAAATAAATTTTATAGCATCATAGAGTTCTCACATATTCTCTACATGAACTAAGAATATTACAATTGAATAATTTATACGAAGTATATAAATAAATGATGAAATAATAATTTAGATCAATCAAATGCATAATAGATACGAGACCCTCATTTTTTATGTGTACCATAGATTCACCTTGTTACAATGTAGCCAAGTCACTTCATATGTCATCAATTTTTGTATGGATATAATCACAATGATTATTTATTTATGTATAAGATATTATGCTATTTAAATAGATAAAAAAAATTGTCTCAAAAACACAACTTTAGGATTTGATCTTCACATTTTATGTAAAACTTAGGGTTTTCTTTTAATTTTTAATTACACCACTAATTTATGTACACTATTGGATTTATAATGAAATTGTTAGTCTATTTTTGAAGCATCCAAATAGAAAGGTGCACTTCGGCACTCAGGGCCGGCCCTGGTGGTGTGCAGGGTGTCCAACCGCACAGGGCCCAAAAATTGGAAGGGTCCAATTTTTTTTTTGTAGTAATATACTAGTATTACTTAGAGGTGGAGCGTATATATAGGAACAAAGGAGTAGTAAATCCTCCGTTTCCACCGGACCGAATCAACTAATTGTTGAAATAAGGACGTACAAGTTTTATATTACCTATTTGTTCTACAAAATAAATAATTAAAAATATCTCTTAATAAAAATCGGTTCGGTTCGGTTTGAACTGATTTTGTAACTCAAAAACCTTCATTAAACCGATTTATGTTCGAGTCCTGACTTTCGGGTCCCATTTGAGTCGGTGCGGTTTCGGTTCAGTTTTTTTAACCTGTGTTGAAACTTTGAAAAGAAGGCCCAATTATTTTTGTTGCACAAAGCCTTCATTTCCTCAGGACCGGCCCTGTCGGCACTGTATGCATTTCTAGACAGTGGACAGTTTACTAAATTAATTTGATTTTGAGTGTTAAATTATAAGAAGAGTAAAAAGGTTAATATGAACTCTTATTTTTAGAATATTAAATATAGATTGGTATTTTTACCATATTTTACTCATAAATAGTTTTTCTTTTTAAATTACTCCATACTATCTTACTAGAAGTCTAGAACCATTTTGCCTAACCTTGTAATGTGTCACCAAAGAAACTACCGAATCACTTTATTTTAAATTATAATGTCCGTAAGAAAGTGCTCATATCTTAGTTACCGAACACACTCTTGAGTATTAAGCGAACCAAACACTAGTAACTAGTGAGTTTATAAACTTTCAGAATTATTTTTCGAATATAAGTTCATATTGATATAGAGCCCACTATAATTTGTTTTTACGTACTCAGTGGTTACCAAACTTGAAGGTTCAACGCAAATGTGAAGAAAATAGAGGCAAAGAATGGAGAAAATGCATGACTTCAGTGAATTAAAGGTATACAAAAGCACTCTTTTATCAGGTGATGAAGAATCGAAGATGACTGAACGAAGCGACAGAGAAGTGATGGGAACTTCATTGGACGAACTACGGCTCATCTAATGCTTTTTTTGATTTTGTTTTAATTTGAATGCACTACCAAACCCATGCCAATTGCCAAATTTGTATTTTACTACTTGGTCCCAGATGAAATTCACATTTTTCTTTTTGGGTAGGTCAAAAATAAACTTCACACTTCTTCTTCCTTCCTTATTTGGCAAATTATCTACGCCAAAACAGTGTCAAACAATGTACTCTACAATAAATTCAAATTTATTTCCTTAATTTGTGTGAAATCAAAGTGTAAATTTCATTTGGGACCAGAGGGAGTATAACCGAAGATAACCAGCCCAGTTGATTACACCGAAGTTGAAGTTAGTTGTTTCAATTGACTGAATTCTGAAAAATAGCTAAAATGATAACTTCAACTAATTCACCCAAAAAAACAACAATCTTACTTATTATGATTACTATAATCCGTATTACATAATTTAACACGCAAAATCAAAAGTTACATGTTTAATAAAAAAGTTAATGGGAGAACTATCAAATAAGCCATCGAACTTACATACAAAGTGCAAATAAGCCTGATGGATAGTCTACCCGAGGGTATATATCCGAAGGGTTATTACGGGGAATAACTTAGAGAGAAGTCAGAGCAAGTAAGTAAATGTAGAGAGAGAGTGTATTCAGTATGAATGCCGTTTTCAGCGTGGTTACAAATGAGGAAATGGGGTGCTATTTATAGTAGCAATAAATCCCGGATAGGGACACGTGTCAAGCGCTCATTGGCCGAGGGGTCACCTCAACTGGTTGGCGCTGGCAGCCGCATGTGGCCGCATTTAATGCGGCTGTTGGATGGGACGTCTGTACAGGGTACGGTAATCTGTACGCATGTGAGGCGGATATCTTGTCGAGTGAGATGCCTTCGGCTATAGAGCAGTAGCTGAGGGCTCCTCCAGCCGATGGCACCCTGGTGCCGAGGGCTCACAGTGCCGAGGGCTACTGTTTTCGCCGTTTTCTCCCAGTTTCTTAGTTTGCTTGAGAAACCCGCTCTGTGAGAATTTAGAGCCTTCGGCCAGGGGGCCGAAGGCACCCCCTGGCGCGTAGTGCGGGCTGCTTGGTACTCTGGGCGCTGTGATTTGGGCCTGTTGGGCCTGTTGGGCCTTCGCTGGAGTAGTAGGAGTCTGTGGGCCGGGGGTTCCCGGGCCATATACTCCATCAGGAGTCCCTCACTCCATTTGCCGAAAGGTACTTGAGGGAAAAGGAGTAATTTGTGCTTGCCCTTTGATGTTGTCCCGTCGTGATTTCTGAAGTTGGTGAGGAGTTGTTGCTTTTATGTCCCTGCCGAAGGCAGTCCCTCAGTTACCCACATGTCGGGACTTGAGGGCTTGCCTTGTCGTTTGTTGGAATTTCACAGATTTTGTAATTTAATGATTTTCCCGAGGGGGTCCCCCAGTCCCCCACTCCTTGAGGCACTTGTAAAGTGGTGAAAATGAGTAAAGTAGTTGTGTTGCTGTTGTGGGCCGAAGGCTGTCGTTTTTTCGTTTCATTTTGGGGGGATGCCTCGTTAAAAATCTCATTAGGAAAAACCCTTTGGGAAAAAATCCTAATGAGGGAAAAAGAGTGCACCGAATTCCCCCAATGATGAATCAAAAATGTCAAACCTTGGTATAAAGTGGAGAATGACGGGAATGCCGAAGGCCCTCTCTTCTGAGGGCTCCTGTGTTGATTAGTCGAAGTCTTGCTGTTGATGTCCTGGTGGCGCCGAAGGGGAGCCCCTCAATTCGGGGATCGAGGGCCTGCTGGATGAGGGCGACAATGGAGTTGTTACCGGGGGGTCCACTGTTTGTTGATTAGTTGGTGATGAAGATACCCGAGGGCTCCCATTACCTGTGTGCCATGGGCCATCCGTCAATGAGGCACTCCCCGGGGGCTACCCCGTTTTGCAGTGCTGAGGGGGAATCCCCGAGGGGTGCCCTGATATGAAGCCTCGGGTTTCTGAAGGAGTGATCCCGAAGGCGGCTGTTATGTGCTGTGTGGGGCACAACCCGAGGGCGCTTCTGGGTAAGTGTACCCGGAGGCTCTCCTTGATGAAGTGGAGTGAAGTAGAAAACCCGGGGGCTTCCAGAATATAGCCGTTGGAAATATAGCCGTTGGAATATGTAACGACAGGATATAGCCGTTGGGGGGGGGGCACACGTGGCGTGTGATGGCTGGCTGGCCGTGGGCGGCATCACTGGTTGGGTGAAGACGCGGCGTGTAATGATGGCGGTCCGTCCGGAGGCCCGGAACCCAGGCCCAAGCCCGGATTCCAGCGCCTATAAATACCCCAAGGCCAGAGCCATTTCCTCTTGTGCGATCAGTTGTCTTAGCGAAGCTCTGCCAAAAATTCTAGTGAGAGAAACTCCAGCCTTCGGTCAAAACTCTGCTTTCAAGGTCAGTGTCCTGCTCCTCTCTCAAAGTTTTTAGTAAGTTCCGCCCCCTGGCCTTAGATTAGGTTTAAAATCCTGTAGAGAGCCTTCGAAGTCTTAGGCGCATTCGTGATAAAAAATGTCGTCCGAGAGCGATTCACAGGACATCTCGAGGACGCCCTCGATGGAAGACGAAGGTATCTCCGATGCGGAGTCTAGTAGCAGTCAGCCCTCGGGTGGTGATGCAGCTCTCGCCACCGAGATGCAGAAGGATTTGGTGGCCGAGGTCGAGGCGGAGGAGTTCGAGCGAACTGCCGAAGATGAGGAGTTAGCCCTCGCCGTCCAAGTTGCTGAGGAGGAAGAAGAAAAGGAGAGGGCGAAGGTCACTGTCGCTGTTCTTCCCCCCCGGGGTTCTGGGGAAGCAAGTAGCTCGAGGCCGCTGGACCCGACGCCGTTAAGTGTAGCCCCCGGGAAGAAGAGGAGAAAGACGAAGGCTGCCCCCCAGAAGAAAGTAAAGGCCGTCGATCAGGGGGGGCAGTTGATCTACCGGAGGGTTACTCCTTCCTGGACACCGCCGCTCTGGAGATTAAGT